TTAGCGATTGACTTAACGTAGAAATCCAAATCCCCTCACAAATTGAATAAATAATTGTTTTTTAATGAAGATGAATGGTTTAGCATGTACTGAAATGTAATGATAGGGATGGTAATTCGAACTGTTAAAATCGAAAATCGTGATTAACCGAACCGAATGGGGTGAAAAAAATCGAACTGATGGTGCAATGGAGTGATTATGATTTTACTTTTAATGACCCAATTCGGAGTGAGTCGAGTATGGTATTTAGTGACGGTGTCCCGCCCCGAACCGGTTACTCGTTTAAAAAAAAAATTGTTATGACATGCTTACATCTATATTAATGTTTGACACCATCGGTTCTAGGTAGCGTTATTTAAAATATAATTAGTTTGGCGAAAGTTGACGATAAAAGAGAAATTGACTTGAATATGGTTTTAGTAGATGTAGAATTGGGTCAAGAGGATTGATGAAAAAATATTTTCACACTCAAGTTTATTTTCTGTAAAGCTTGATTTATTGTGTTTTTTATGTGATGAATTGGACATGTCGACTAGTATAACAATGGAGCGGGTAAGATTTTTAGAAAATTCTACTTTTTCATCATACTCAGGAGCTTGTGCAAGATTTAGTGAGGATGACATTTTTTTGTTTAAATATTTAGTTAAGACCATTCTTGATTATGTAGTATAGTTGTATTATTACTCTAATTACATCTCTTATTTACTATATATGAATCAATTTTGAATCTTGACTCTTGAAGTATGTTAGCAAGAGTTGTAGGGAAGAATGAAGATTGACCTATGCTAGTAAGAGTCTTGACCTGTAACGCCTCGGGTCCCATTTAATAGGCTGTCCCGACCGTTAGATCGACGACGTACTGACCCCACTATACCAACATGGGTATTTTTAGCATGCTTTATCCTCACTCGCACGCTCCTCAAGAAAATTTCTCAGAAGGTTACTCGTCATAGAATTGCTCTAAGCCAAGCACGCTTAACTGTAGAGTTTTTAACGATGGATGATAAGTGTGTTTTTACA